TTTTTTGCATAAATAATCTATCAACATACAATTTTTTCAACAAAAACTTTGACAATAAAAATTAAAAATATGGTTTAATACCTCATGATAATCTAAACCTTGTCACGATTTTTACATTTTTTCAGAAAATCATCATTTTTCAAAAAATTCGATCATGGATAAAATAAAATAAAATAAAAAAGTACAGCAAATTTTCATAAAATTCGATCATGGATTACAAAAAAAATTCGATCATGGATTAAAAAAAAAAATCACAAATTTTCAAAAAATTCGATCATGGATTACAAAAAATTCGATCATGGATTACAAAAAATTCGATCATGGATTACAAAAAATTCGATTATGGATTACAAAAAATTCGATCATGGATTACAAAAAATTCGACCATGGATTACAAAAAATTCGATCATGGATTACAAAAAATTCGATCATGGATTACAAAAAAAACAAAAAACAATTCGATCATGGATTACAAAAAATTCGATAATGGATTCAAAAAAAAAAATTCGATAACGGATTACAAAAAAAAAAAAAAAAAAAAATTTAGTGTTCTTCACAGAGCCATCTTACATCAGCCATTTTAACTAAAAAATCCACCTCCAAGCAAATAAATTACATCCAATTGAGTACATTTTCTGATAAACAACAATATAAGGAATCCAAACCCTAAATTTTGAACATATCATCATCTATAAATCAAATCAAATCGATTAAAATGAGCAAAAAAACAAAAAGCGCAGTTCTTCACTGACAACAGTCATTGAATCTAAAAATGAAGCTCAAATTGAATAAATCAGATCAAATTGAGTACATATGATTATAAACAAGACTATAACGATTAAAAACCCTAGAAATCTAACACATTAATTATAATATATCATGAAAAAAAAATCGAAAGGCGGAAAGAAAAAAAAAACAACAAAATTTTTTTTCATTGACATCACTGTGTTCATCTAAAAAATCAGGCTGTAATTGAGCAAATTAAACAAAATTGAATATGTTACATGATAAAAGACACAATAACGATTAAAACCCTACAAATGTAACTCATTATTTTCAAAATCTGCAGTAAAGTTGATCATATGGCGGAAAAAAAAAAAACCCAAAGTTCTTACCTGGTTTCGTGAACCCGAACCTTCAATCTTCAAATTACACTGTTTTTCTCAATGATTCTCACAAATTCGTAACATAATGTTTTGATGAACAACTTTACGATCAAAATGACTACAAATATTCACAGATTCATGCCCTATTTGGCATGAAACACAAGGAAAGGCAGAAACCCTAAAAACCCAACTTTCATGATAAAAAAAAACAAAATTTCTCCACCATTTAATCCATGAAAAGGCTGAAAAAATATGTATAAAGCCTGCATATTCGATCACAGGGCAAAAAAAACAAAAAAAATGATAAAAAAATGACAAATTTTGAAGAATCTCGTGAAGAACACTGTGCAGCCCGTGTTCTTCACGGGACTCGTCGATTCCGTACAGTGAATCGGCGAGTCACTGAACAGAATCACCCGGTTCTCTCTAGAACCGGGCGATTCCATGTTTTTTGATCGATTTGGCACGTCCAGTACCGATTCCCAAGTCGAACCAGGCGAGTCCGGTTCGACTCGGCGTTTTTTTAATCACTGGTTTAAACAGCTGCATATGTAAAGTTTAAGATTCCATGAAATCAGATAGAAAGTATTTATCAAAAAGGTCATATATAGCATTGCTGAAATGTTTTCTAGCTGGATGAGTTCCTGGTATTGTTGTCTTTTTCATTCAATACGTTTGTTCATCACTTCATGCACTAATTTCTCAACTGCTACTTCGTATTCCGTGTTCTCTATCCTATTGGCTAGAAACCTGCATGAAATTTTGGAAATTTATCTGTAGCTGCATAATAAATGAAAGAGTATAAATAAAAAAATATATTAGGGAAGACAAATTGTTATAACTATGTTATTATCTTAAGTAAATATTAAAAGAGAGATTTAAGTTTATGAGTGCTTGAATATTGAAAAAATGAATGACAAATAAACAATAAATAAATAAGAAGAAGATACTTTCTTGTTATGTGCATATAAAAAGAGAGTGAGTGAGAGAGAGATAAATAGAGAAAGAGAGATTAAATTACTTTTTTTTGAGATTTCGCATGCTTCAGTGCATTCATAAGGACTTGGCTTTTGTTTTCTTGGAGCTTAGTAATAGGATCATTCTTTTCATTGAAATCCTCTCCCATTTTATTGCATAGAGATTTTATATAAATCTCTACAATAGGTTTGTTAAGAGATATACAACTAAATAATCTACATGTTGAAGAAGTAATAACCAATGAAAAAAAATTTACAATTAAATTCTAATAAATTAAGAAGTATGATATGAATAAGAACTTACTAAAGGTGTAGTTTGTTCGGTAGTTGTCGAAGCGGAGTCGTTATAAATATATGTGAAAAAACCAAAATCTCATACATAAAATGCAATGTATTATAAACTTTGAAAGATTGAAAAAAGATGTTTTTATATATTTCAACTCTAAATCTTATGAGAAATAAATTATGAAGTTATTTAATTACCTTTGATTCATGATAATCAACGATCTAACAAAACTTTTAAGATAGTGTCTAGAAAGGAGTCACCACTGAAGCTGAGAAATTTTACAGAAGGACATATTAGACAAATAATATGGCAATGGTCTTCTCAGAGAATTTATTTGGCTAAATAGAAATTAAAAAATTAAGCATCTTAATATTCTAAAGCACTAAATTTTATTCAATCACTACCGGAAAATAAGAGATCGATTTTATGAGCTATTCAAATCATAAATATAGCAGCATTATTACAAAACGTAGTAAGTAATGCTTTAGAAATCATCAGCAACTGAAATGCAAGAACTGAAATATATTGACCTGTGACATAAAATAATTGTTAACATATAAGAAGACATGTATGAGATTTTTTGTAATAGGATTTTTCATGATACAGAGTATTAATTGACTTGGAATACTGTATTTCCCAAAGTTTCAGAGGAAAATCCTGAATATATTTTAGAATTAATCTTTCTTCCTTAAGAAGACCTAATATAAAAATAGTAAAACCAAATTTGAGAGAGAATAGAACCAAATCTGAGAAAAAAATCCTAACTGAAAATTTCCTAAATAACATATATAAAAAAATGGGGATGCAATAAGCATTTAAAACTTCGATGCACATGATGGACATAAGATTTTCCATTCATGAGTGCATGTCAAAATGTACTACCACATATCTTCATTCGTGCTGAAATATCTGTTTCACGGGATAGGCCATGTACACATACAAAATATGAACCATCTGCTTTATTTGTATAATAATGTATAAACTTAAAACAAAACATTATATTGAAATACTTACAAAATATCTTGTTGCAAAAAAGACTGTCATTTATTTACTTTGTGGTTGTAGAATTTATGGTAATATGCATTTCAGAGAAAGGGTTACAAAGAGCTCCTAGAACTGGACCCCTCTCATGTCCTACTGGCGAATCTCTATGCTGCTAGATCAACATGGAAAGATGTAGAAAGAATGAAAATATTGATGCTAAAGAGAGGAGTCAGAAAGATCCAAGGGTTTAACTTGCTTGATCCCGATAACCATGTTTACATGTTCGGAGCTGAGGATAGGACGAATCCACAATCAGAAAAAATGTATGCTTTGCTCGAGAGCTTGGCTTCATGAATGAGAGAATTGGGTTATGTTCTATTGATTGAATTTGATATAAAATATCGAAACTTGTTATTACTATTAATTTTTTAGTTGATCTATCGAACAACTGGTGTGCAATATGAAGAAATCAAATGTAGTGCATTGACAATGAATCAAATTATTATAAACACTGTAATATCTTAATAAGATATCATAAATGTGGCAAAAAAAGAGTTAATGTTATATTTCCTAAAGTTTAAGAGGAAAATCCTGAATATATTTCAGACTTAATTTTTTCTCTTAAGAAACTCTAATATAAAGATAGTAAAACCAAAATGAGAGAATAAAACTAAATCTGAGAGAGAAACCCTAACTGGAAATATCACAAATATAATATATAAAGAATGTATGACAACCAAATAGTTAAAAATAAAATTCCAGTTATTACAGAAAATACCCTAAAATTTATATCTGTATTTCAATAAATTTCTCCACCTCAATAAAATTTTCCCATGAATTCATAAAAAAATGCCACACAGATATGAAGGATCAAAGCTAAAACCATTCAAATAGATATTTACTCAAAATTTCTTTCACCTTGATTCTATGAAAGAAACAAACCAACAAAAAAATCTAAAAAAACTCGGCAAAAAAAGCAAAATCATCTTAAAAGAAAATATTCCAAAAATTTGTACTAACCTTGTGAACAACAAATATTACAATATCAGAAATGTCTCCCAAAACAAATATGATGGAGAGATATATATACCCAATATCAAGAAGGAAAACGTACTCGTATGTTTTCCCTCCGTACACTACTCCTCATGTAAATATTGATTAAGCAATAGATACCTTTATTTTATGAGTAATGATCTTATGGGACCTGCCCCACACAATGACATAGGACCATAACAAATCACCGTCTAAGTTTTATCTAAATCTCAAGGTCTTGCTTTCCAACCGATTGCCGGTGACTGCCCCCTTTCTCTCTAAAGGAAAAACTTTATGTAAAGATGATACTTTATAATGTAGAACTACGGATGGCCTTAAAAAATCCATCGAAAAAAGTAGTTTTAATGTTGAAAAATCTTTTGATTGATCATCTCGAGATATATAACTATGAAAAATAAAAAGATTTTAAGTATCAGAAATAGTATATTTTACAATACATTATCTACACCGTTCATTTTTAAGATTTTCGTATGTTTATAGATCTACTTGATTCTAACTATTTTTAAAATTTAATTTTTTTTAATTAAATATAAAAATAGATTTTGAGATAATCTTAAAAACATTTTACATGACCGTGATAAATTTGAAGGTGGACGTTACCTCTACACCTACGGATGAGAATGCAAACTGCAGCCCTCTCTAAAAGGTACTTTTCCCCAATCTAAAGGCGCATTCATCTTCCTTCCTCTTTGTTTCTTAAAGGCAAAATTCTCCCGCTCTCTTCTCTGTGAAACTCTTCGCTCCGAACCCTTGCACGGTTACAGAAGTTGCAGAGGCTGTTTTCTCTATCTCTTTTGATCAAAGCAGGCAAGTGTCATTCCTCTCTCCTGCCTTCTCTCATGGGTCTCTCTTTCTCTAAGTTTCCCTCTCTGCAATTTCTCTCTCTAGCACCCACTCTCTAGGTTGTTTTAAGGTCTCTCTCGAAGTTTCCAGCTCTTTCCCATTTCACATGGTCTCTCTCACTAGGTTTCAAGGTCTCTCTCCTACCTTCTGCCTGCCAGGGTTTCTCTGAAATTTCTCTCTCTAGCTTCTATCTGCAATTGCCTTTTAGCTTTCTCTCTAGCACCCTCTCTCTAGGTTTCCATCTCTCCCCTTTGACAGCCTCTTTCTCTTGGTTTTCCAACTCTCGCCCCTCACACGGTCTTTCTCTCTCATTTTACCCATCTCTCGCTCTAGGTTTCATGTTTTCTCTATGTTTGCCCTCTTTGTTCCTCATATCTCTCCCTGCCTTGTTCTGCTCTCTCTATGTTTCTCTCTCTACCTCTTCACACATTATGTCTCTCTACGTTCCCATTCCACCTCACACCATCTCGATCTCATTCTCTCCCTAGGTTTCCCACTCTCTCTCCATTTACATGGTCTTTCTCGGTCTCCCTCTTGGTTTTCCTCCACCTTCTCTCTTTAGGTTTCATGGCATTCTTTGTATTACATTCCTCAAGTTTTGCACCGTATGTGTTTGGTAAAATGCCCAACAAGTCTTTTTTTACTTGTGAAATTTTCCTTATGAGCTTAGTATGTTTTGTTCATTTTTATTTTATTTTATTTTTATTTTAAAAAAATATTCAGCTCATGATTTATTGAGATATTTGGTAAAAAGGACATAAGTTTTGATTTTTATACTTACTTGTCCTTATAATTATTCGTGAATATTTGGTTCTTGATGGATATTGAGGGCATTTTGGCCTAATTTTTCAGTTTTTTCCTTGAATTTGCTTGAAAATAACTCTATCATGGACTAATTTTCTAGTAATTTCCAGCAATCTCTAATCATGTTTCTTCAATTGTTCTTGCTCTGTTTCATCAATTGCTTATTGTTTCCATGTCTACATTGGTCAGGATGGAAATCCAAAGGAGAATGGTGTGAATTTTGTTCCATAAGGCACCAATGTGTTTGTGAAGGCAGTCGATGTTAACTCTATTGCATGTTGTCGTGGGTAAAGATGCAGGATTCTAGAAAGCCATTTTACAATTACTGATTTTAAGTTGCAAATAGTGGATGTATTGCAAAGCAATTTGTTTGTTTTTTCCCCTTTTTTTTTTTTTTTTTCTTTTAATAAGTATTTTGCAGCAAATTGAAAGCAACGAGATAAAAGATGCGACGAATGAGCAAGGTTCTTTCCATGAAGGAACTTGTATGTGTGTGGCCAAATTTTGAGTGGCTTCTCTTTTTCTTTTGTTGGCAATTTTTGCTGAGGCCTAAGGATTTTGTTTGAATATACATATATTTTGTGGAGGGACACATATTCAAAAAGAATTGTATGAAATGATCAATTGTCAGTTTTTATTCTATGCATATTCTTGAGATTTATGGGAAAAAAATATTGGATATCTCATGCAAATATGACCCTTTTTTGGCTGATGAATTTCTAGCTTTTTTTTTTTTTTGTTCATTCTACTTAACATGGATTATTTATTAATATCTATGTTGTTCCAGATCTCACTCAGTTAAATTTTTTAAAAACTAATGTGGGTGGGGGGGGGTTCAAATGTCATGGTTCCATCTGTTTCATGGCTACCCCATAAAAGTCACTATTGTATTAATCTTTCAACGTTTATCCCAAACTTTCTGTTACCCCTTATATTATTTGATAGTACTTAGGTGTATGAGAACATCCATGTTGTATCCCTCTCTTGTCATTGTAATTATATGCTGATGAACAAGATTGGATATTGTTGAATTCGAAGGGGCATTTGGAATAGTGGCAGCTAATGACCCGTTTTTTAACATTGTGCATTCAAAGGGGTAAGGTCTAATTCAGCGAGGAAAATTTTTTTTTTCTTTGGATTACTAAGATCATATTTTCTTCTTTCTTCTTAAAGGGATACATACCCTAGCCTGGGTTTTGCTACTTTTGAGGCCCTAAAAAAGGTCAAGTTCAGCATACAGCAGCAAGACCCATCTCTTTCTCTCTCTTTGAGCAAAGGCAGCAGTCCAAAGTTGGAGTTTGGGGTTTTTCTCTATTGACTGGTGTACATCCACAAATATATATTCGCGATTGCTCTACAATGTGTAACAACTTTTGTGCAAAGAACATTAGGAAATTCGTCATGTTGTGAAAAGAAATCTACAATGTCTCCAATCACACTTTAAAAACATTGATAACAAATCAAAAGATAATTACAAGAAGTTCAAAGGGAAAATGTGTAATTTTGAATTACAAGTTGATGACATAAATACAGGGAGGAATAAACTAAAAGTGCGATGAGTGCACATTTGACATTGTTTTCTTGCGCAATTTGTCTTTGTTGTTATTTTATCATCTTCATCAAAATTCCATTCTTTGAGGGTGGTGATGCTGCTGTTGTTGTATGTCATTTTTGCCGTACTTCCATGAGCCCATGCAAATAAGGAGAGAGATCCTGTGACAGTCTGGTCTTGCGAGTTCACAAAGCACCGGCAGGTCAGGATTGTGTTGAGAAATAAAGCCTCCAGCCTAGTGACCTGGGCGCGGTGCCCTTGTACCAAAGAAGGACCCTTCACTGTAGCCCTTGTACATCGTCATTGTACTCAGAACGTTCCCTGAGGACCAAATTTGGGCTCTCTAAAAGGGTCTATGGTCATGAGGCCTCGAAACTCATGGGTTTTACCTTAGCACGATGCGGCTTCACCAAACCAGTCTCAGAAATGAGGTTGTGTCGAGGTTTTTCGGCAGCAACTTCTCCAACCTACGACGCTCTTATTTGAAATCATACTGAGCTCAAATGTTGACATGTTCTAGATCACGCCAACCTTGTCATTTTGACCTAAGGCACTCACTGTGGCATGACCGGGAACCCCTGTTGCTCTAAAGAGGAAAGCAGTTGAAGAAACTAGGACAAAAAAAGAGGTCCAGCATGCTTCGGATTCGGTAAAGCATAGCTCAAAATCCAAGCCATGGATTGGCCTGAGAAAGAGTTCAAAAGAACCACCTCGCACAGAGTTATATCATGGTATGGCTCTTGCATTCAATCCCATGTTCGATCAATGTGAGTCTTCAGGTCACCAAAGAAGCAAAACCATTGGGTTGCCAGAATCCCCTTCTCCGGTAACCTTACGAAATAACCGACCAAAACGATTGCAACAGCCTCCTCTTTGACTTGCAAGCAGAGCCAAGAGCTAAAACGACGTAGCTCAGAGATGTGTCGGGAAACAAAGTTCACGAAACTGGCCGGACTTTCACCTCGGGGAAGAAGGCCACCACAACACGATTGAAGGGCATCAAAATGCTCGCAATCAAAAGAAGAACGAAGATATGTTGTTGAAAAAGTTGAACAGTTGCTGCATGTTACAGAACAAGCTTCCAAGGTCTTCCCACGGTAAAGCAACTTGCATGCAGGGACAGTCTCATCATTCGGGCAAAAGATCACATGGGCATTTGGATCATTTGAGTCTAATTTTGGATTTGTTTTCAATTATTTTAATTGTAATTAAGGTTGACTTTTGAGCGTTCACCCTTGTTTAGTGAATCCGCTATATAAGCAGGCTTAGCTCATTTTTAAAAGTTCCAGAAAATCGCTCCAAAAGATTTTCTTTTTGGAAGCTCCCATAACCCAAAGACTGGGAAGAATCGAGGCTAGTTCATTCTTACTTTGTCTTATTCTGTGAGCCCCTAACCCAATTGGGAGAAAAGAGAGGAAGAGAGAGAAAACTTTGAGAGGGAGGGTACCCCTGAGTGCATGGTCCCATGGGTCATCCCATTTCCTCGAGTCGAGTCATTCCTTCTCTCTCTCTCTGTCTCCCTCTCTCTCTCTCTCTCTCTCCCCCACTTTCACGCGCGTGACCTTGCCCGTGCAGAAGCCCCCGTCCATTCGTGAGCCCGCGGATGTATCCTAAGCCACGGGACTCTTTCCTTGACTAATACCCACGCCCCTATTAGTGGTCAGCAAACCCTTTCGAGGAGGACATCCAAGGAGGGGGGACATCAGGATCCCACCCCTATAGCACAGAGAGAGTGAAGAGAGAGAGAGAGAGAGAAAGAGAGAGAGAGAGAGAGAGAGAGAGATAGAG